ATGATGAGCTCTAAAGCCAGACTGAAACTCTTCAAAAAGTTTATTATGGTAGAAGTGATCGCACACTTGTTTGGCAACTACTTTCTCAAGAATTCTAGATCAGAAAGGAAGATTGGATATAGGTCTATAATTGACCAAGTCATCTGGGTCAAGAGACGGTTTCTTAAAGGAATAGTACACCCAAAACATGATTAGCCTTCATTTTCTACTCACCCCCCATGCTGAACAACACTCTGGAGTACTTTTTTGATATCTCAAATGCATCTGGAGATCTGGGAGGCTTCTTGCTGTCTGCTGACATTCAAATAATGGAGGTCTATGGCGCCCGAGGCAGAAAGGTCCATAAAAGTCCACAAAAAACGTGTCAATATTCCTCCATACTGCTCGTCCAATATATTCCAAGTGTCCTGAGTGGGTGGCGTCCATAATTTACTCGAAACGAAGTCATTTAGAATGTTTTTAGAGCATAAACAGTAGTGTATAGGATTTCCTGAAAGCGCGTTCACGAGTCTACGGAAACTGCGGCAGACCAAACCAGACGAAAGTGCGCATTCAGCTCGGCAAAGAACTCATGCTCTTCCTCAACACTGAAGTCCTCAGACATTTTTCTTTCGTTGTTTCTTTCTTTGCACAGGTAAACAGCACATTTCTTCTTCTACGCTTGCATTATCGGCAGAGCAGACGCTGAATGCGCACTTTCGTCTGGTTTGGTCTGCCGCGGTTTCCGTAGGCTCGTGAACGCGCTTTCAGGAAATCCTATACACTACTGTTTATGCTCTAAAAACATTCTAAATGACTTCGTTTCGAGTAAATTATGGACGCTACCCACTCAGGACACTTGGAATACATTGGACGAGCAGTATGGAGGAATATTGACACGTTTTTTGTGGACTTTTATGGACCTTTCTGCCTCGGGCGCCATAGACCTCCATTATTTGAATGTCAGCAGACAGCAAGAAGCCTCCCAGATCTCCAGATGCATTTGAGATATCAAAAAAGTACTCCAGAGTGTTGTTCAGCATGGGGGTGAGTAGAAAATGAAGGCTAATCATGTTTTGGGTGTACTATTCCTTTAAGCCTTTGGTACATATCCCTGTAACAGAGATAGATTAATCACATCTAAAATGGAGGAGGAGATCACAGGGAATACCTCCTTAAATAACCTGGTTGGAACTGGATCTAACATACAAGTTGAAGGCTTAGATGAAGACAATAGTTTTGTTAACGCTGAAAGTTCAACTGGATAAAAGCAGTAAAAAACCAGTTCAGATTCCATGACTACCTCAGATGCTGCCCCCCTCCAGAGACAAACCAAACACAGATAGAGAAGTGCTAATGATCTTATATTTAATAAGATAAATCTTATTTATAAAGAATCCCATAAAATCATTGCTGCTAAGAGCAGGTGGAATGGACAGTTCAACAGAGCTATGGCTCTGGGTGAGTTTGGCAACTGTATTAAAAAGAAATCTAGGATTATTCTTATTCTCCTCTATTAATGAGGAGAAGTATGCTGCTCTTGCTTTACAAAGGGTCCTCTTATACAGCAGTAAACAATTTTTCCAGACTAGGAAGGACTCCCGCAGGCCTGTGGAGCGATATTTTCTCTACAGTTTCTTAGCATTTTGCTTCAAAGTCCGCAGCTCTGCATTAAACCAAGGAGCAAGCTTTCTATTATTAACGGTTTTCATTTTCAAAGGAGCTGCGTTGTCTAAGGTGTGTGGGACTATTCACATTTTTAACAAAGCCAATAGTGTCTAAGATAGCATTAAAGGCTGCTCTTAAGCTATCGCCTTCAATGTCAGCATGGATGTTAAAATCTCCCACTATGATGACCCTGTCAGTTTTTGATACCAAATCAGAAAGGAACTCTGATAAAAGAATTCGGCGAATTTTCAGGATATAAAATCAATAACTCAAAATCAGAGTTAATGTTTCTTAATGAAGATGAAAGGAGAAGTCCTATTGTGACTACCCCATTCAAAACAACTACAAAAGGTTTTACATACTTAGGCATTAAGATCACTCCATGCCTCAATGAAATAAACGCAGCAAATTATGAACCCCTTGTGGAAAAAGTCACAGAGATGTTAAATCGATGGTCAAATTTGCCTATATCCATGACAGGTCGAATAAATTTATTAAAAATGACAATCTTGCCCAAATTTTTGTACTATTTTCAAACACTTCCATTGTCACTGTCAGATTCATTTTATGACAATTTGGACAGCAATCTGTTCCAGATCTCTCATTAAACACCTTCATATATTCTTCAGACATAAAGACATTAAAAAATAACACAAAGAACCCTTTCTTAAAAAATACAATTATAACTTGGTACGCAGCACATAAACATGTAGGTGACCAACCAGAACTATCACAATTTACTCCGATTTGGGGTTATGAAAGGTTCCCCCCTGGAAAAAATGATGGAGGATTTAAAATATGGAAAACCAAAGGCATTCAGAAAGTTAAAGATCTTTATGCTGATGGCATGTTGCTTACATTTGACCAGCTAAGCAAGTGTTGGGATCCTCAGGCTGAGCCTCTCACACACCTGTGGCTGATCTACTAATCAGGAGGACCACAGTATTTAAGCTGCCTTCAGACCTGGATTCCACGCCGCAGCGTTGATCTTAGTTGGAGTCCTGTCTCTCGTGAAAGCTCTGGATGAGCTTAACCTCCTGTCTCCTTGTAAGCTCAGGAAGAGCAACCTCACTGGAACCCTGTCTCTGGTCTGCAGCTCAGGGAGAGCAGCATCCCAGGAAACCAGTCTCAAGCCTGAAGCTCTTGGAAGGTCTAACCGGCTAATCTGCCCTGGTGAGCCAACCCGAAGATTCCTACGGGGTTTAAGCCTGAAGACTTCCGTGTGGAGTTTCCCTAGAGGTTCCCACGTGGATCTTTCCCTGATGTTCCCTGCTGAGAGCTGGATGCTCAGCCTGAGAATTCCTTCGTGTTTCCCCTGATGTTCTCTGCTGTAAGCTGAAAGCTCAAACCCAGGACTGCCAGGCTAAGCCTGAAGCTAATGCTTAGCCTCACATAACTCAGCTACCAGCCATCTCCCATTCCCTGCACAGACCTAGTGAACCAGCCCCCTGCCTGAACTGTTTTCAGTTTGTTATTCATGTGCTTGTGCTCTTTAATAAACTCTTTGGACTTTTACCAGTGTCTCCGTGGTGTTCTGCATACTTGGGTCACTTTAGAGAACCCATCATGACAGCAAGAAGTATTTAATACCCCCAAAACATTTTTTTAAATATTTACAATTGAAAAACTATATGTCATCAAAAATGAAAGGAATAGTTGATATTCCACCCTTAACAAAAATGGAACAGATCTGTGTTGGGGACTTAAAAGGGAAAGGTTTTCTGTCGGTTTTTTATAATCTGTTGATGCTTTCCTCTAAGGATTCAGCAATTGACAAGTTAGACGCTTGGAGAAGAGAGACTCTTGAAGATATAGATGAGGAGGACTGGAACCAGGCCTGTTTAAAAGCGCAAAAACAAACGATAAACACACGATTTAAACTCCTGCAATATAAATGGCTTATGAGAACCTATATAACACCAGTTAGGCTTCATCATATGTCCAGTGATATTCCAGACACGTGTACTAAATGCTTACTTGAAAAAGGAACTCTTCTCCATTGTTTATGGGAATGTCTTAAAATCCAGAAGTTTTGGAGGGAGGTTATTAGGTGTCTATCTGAAGTGTTTAAGGTTAAAGTCCCATTAGTGGTTAAAATCTGTGTTCTAGGAATATACCCAGTGGAGTTTAGACAATCACAGACAAACAACAAATTGATAGATTATGGACTTCTTCAAGCCAGAAGATCTATTGCATTATACTGGAGGAGCATGGACGCCCCCTCCCTGAGACTCTGGAAAAAAGAAATTGCAAATTCACTCGGACTGGAAAGATTAACATATATCGCCAAGGGTAAATAGCAAGACTTTGAGAACCTCTGGGAGCCATATATGAGGATTATAGAGACTGAAGGCGGAGCTTATTAAATGGATGACTTGAATACAGTTTTTATTTCCATATTGTCTTATTACTTTTTCTGTATCATAATCTAAAGAGTTTTGTATTTTTGAACAAATGCAGGTTTGAATTATGAGTGCGTGAGTGAATGCTAGTATGCAGAGGTTCATGTCTGCAATGTTAAGTTTGTTTGTAAGTTTATTGTACATTAAAAGAGAAAAATTCAATAAAATATATTGGGAAAAAAAAGAAAGGAACTCTGAAAACTCTTCTAATAATTCAGAGTAAGGACCTGGTGGACGATACAAAGTTACAAAAAGAAGAGGTTTTCTTGCTTTGCAGTTTGGATCAGGGAAATTAAGGGTTAAACGTTCAAAAGAGTTGTAGGTATTAACTGCCTTTGGAGTAATCAGTAAGTCTAGAAAGACTAAAGAGATTGTTGCTACTCCTCCTCCTCGCCCAGAACTTCTGGGTATGTGAAAATTTAAATAGCTTGAAGGAGTTGCCTCATTTATGCTCACATAATCCTCTTGCTGCAGCCAGGTTTCTGTAAGGCAACATAAGTCAATGTGATTATCACAAATCAAGTCATTAACTAGCAGACTTTTAGAGGAAAGAGATCTTATGTTAAACAGACCGCATTTAATCGTTTTAACTTTTTACCCAATTGGAGTTATTTTGATTTTAATTAGATTAACCTTGATATTTGTTTGAGAATGCCTTTGTCTCCATTCAAACCCAAGTTTAAAGCCTTGCAGGGCCATCAAGCCCGTTTTACTTGTATTGTCCACATGGTGGCAGTATAGAGCAAATAGAGACTCCATCCCACCCCCTGCAATGAGACACATTTAAAGTTTATTCAAAGCACAATATGTATTTATGCAGAATGTTTTTGTTTTTTTTTCATATGATAAACCAGTTAAAAAAGAAAATATTTAGAATAATAAATAAATAAAAACATTTCGCTATGAAAGTGATCTGAAGTGGACTGAGGGGGTGGCTGAGACAGGGGGGGGGGGGTGCAGAGGAGAAGCGAGCAGGCAGACTGAGGGAGCGCAGAAGGAGCTCAGCAGCGGGTCTCTGGTCGGCAGCAGGAGGACGCAGCGCAGGCATGGGAGTAGAGGTCGAGACAATCACACCGGGAGACGGTAAGGAGCGCTGCACGGGGGGGGGGGGGGGGGGTGCACCGGGGAGGGGGGGCTGATCATGGAGATCATGCTTCTACTGAGCTTCTCTCTGGTTCCTCCACAGGAAGGACCTTCCCTAAAAAAGGCCAGACGTGTGTGGTGCATTATGTGGGTGAGTTTTAGTGGGGGGAGGGGGGTTTCATGGTTCTGCTTCCTGCTGATAGAACATAAGATCAGAACATCAGCAGATAGACATGTTCATGCCTCAGGTCACTGGGATGCTGAATCCTGCAAACACATCATCATCATCATCATCATCAGGGCTCTGAATTCAGTCTGAGCCTGAAGATCTCTGGTTAATGTGATGAAGGGAAGAGAGTTTCCCTGATATCAGCAATCAGGATCCTGAAAAGGGACTGGATGGACAGACAGACAGACAGGCAGGCAGGCAGGCAGGCAGACAGGCAGGCAGGCAGGCAGGCAGGCAGGCAGGCAGACAGGCAGGCAGGCAGGCAGGCAGACAGGCAGACAGGCAGACAGGCAGGCAGACAGGCAGGAAGGCAGGCAGACAGGCAGGCAGACAGGCAGGCAGGCAGGAAGGCAGGCAGGCAGACAGGCAGACAGACAGGCAGGCAGGAAGGCAGGCAGACAGGCAGACAGACAGGCAGGCAGGCAGGCAGACAGGCAGACAGACAGGCAGGCAGGCAGGAAGGCAGGCAGACAGGCAGACAGACAGGCAGGCAGGAAGGCAGGCAGACAGGCAGACAGACAGGCAGGCAGGCAGGCAGGAAGGCAGGCAGACAGGCAGGCAGACAGGCAGGCAGGCAGACAGGCAGACAGACAGGCAGGAAGGCAGGCAGACAGGCAGACAGACAGGCAGGCAGGCAGGCAGGAAGGCAGGCAGACAGGCAGGCAGGCAGGCAGACAGACAGGCAGGCAGGCAGGAAGGCAGGCAGGCAGGCAGGAAGGCAGGCAGACAGGCAGACAGGCAGGCAGACAGGCAGGAAGGCAGGCAGACAGGCAGGCAGGCAGGCAGGCAGGCAGGCAGGCAGACAGGCAGACAGGCAGACAGGCAGGCAGACAGGCAGACAGGCAGGCAGACAGGCAGGAAGGCAGGCAGACAGGCAGGCAGGCAGGCAGGCAGACAGGCAGGCAGGCAGGAAGGCAGGAAGGCAGGCAGGCAGACAGGCAGACAGACAGGCAGGCAGGCAGGCAGGCAGGCAGACAGACAGGCAGGAAGGCAGGCAGACAGGCAGACAGACAGGCAGGCAGGCAGGCAGACAGGCAGGCAGGCAGGCAGGCAGACAGGCAGACAGGCAGGCAGGCAGGCAGGCAGACAGGCAGACAGGCAGGCAGACAGGCAGGAAGGCAGGCAGACAGGCAGGCAGGCAGGCAGGCAGACAGGCAGGCAGGAAGGCAGGCAGGCAGACAGGCAGACAGACAGGCAGACAGGAAGGCAGGCAGACAGGCAGACAGACAGGCAGGCAGGCAGGCAGACAGGCAGACAGACAGGCAGGCAGGAAGGCAGGCAGACAGGCAGACAGACAGGCAGGCAGGCAGGCAGGCAGGCAGGAAGGCAGGCAGACAGGCAGACAGGCAGGCAGACAGGCAGGAAGGCAGGCAGACAGGCAGGCAGACAGGCAGGCAGACAGACAGGCAGGCAGGCAGACAGACAGGCAGGCAGACAGGCAGGCAGTGGGGTTAAGTCCTGTTGAATTTCAGGCTATTTCTGTTTTTGTTGGAGTTTCTTTGGGGTTGAGGGGTGGGGGTGGTGTGTCTGTGGGGTGGGGGTGGTGTGTCTGTGGGGGTGGTGTGTCTGTGGGGTGGGGGTGGTGTGTCTGTGGGGGTGGGGGTGGTGTGTCTGTGGGGTGGAGGTGGGGGTGTTAGTGGGTCTGAGCGGATTTGAGCGTCTGGGAGGCTGGAATAATGGCAGTCTGGATGTGTTGTTGTTCTCTTTAATATTTTTCATCAGACCGGCACATGATGTTAGAGCACCCCCCCCCCATCACACACTGCCTCCCCCAGTCCTTCCCACTATTATAGCATTATGATTATTATTGTTGCTATTAATAATATTATTGCCAGAGGCGTCCTAAGTATTAATGTTTATCATCTCAGCATAAATCATATTGTTTAAAAACACTTTTATAGAAGTTAGAGGATTAACTTCACCTGTCTAGTCAAGTAAAAGTGTAAAATTACCATTTTTAAAACTTCCTAAAAGTATAATAGTTAAAGTAATGCAGGAAAAATTTTAACAAACTTTACTCTCTGCCCTATTAAAGGAAAATTTTTCTACAATTCTGGATGATAACTTCCTTAGACATAATTCTCTTAGTTTTATAACTAATGGTTACAGAGTCACATTTAACTTTGCATCATCATGAAAAACTATTTATTTTGGTTTGTGGTGAGCAACAGGTTGGGGCAGCACCGAGTCCAACCACAAAGAAATTAATTTTCAGGATGAAACTAATTATTTTGATGGTTTTCATTTTTTTTTTATAACTACAGGCCGTAATGAAAACAAGTTTATTTTTAAAACATACGGAGTAAAAAGTAAAAAGTTGTCTTAAAATAATTACTAAAGTATAGATAGCTAACATTTCTATTTAGTATTTATACCTTGTTACTTGACACCTCTGATCATTATTACTATCAGATGTGTTTTAAGTAGTTTAATTCAAACCTTTGAAAATAAGAGGTTAATACTAGGAATAGTTTTCATGCTGTTGTTTAGTCAAACACTCAGACGTGGTTAAAGGATCTGTTAGCTTTTGTTTTAGCGGTTTTAGCGGTCCGCTCCGGTTAACAGACGGTCACGGTTGGAAGGTTTTGGGATGGGTGGATGCAGAACATCTTTAGTGCAGGTGATGTTTAAACCCAGTTTGACCAGATTCAGCAGATTATTTAAGTGAAACTAGAAACCCTAATGCTGGTTAAAGATGTTTGGTCCAACGTTCATTCAGCTTCTTTATCTGAATGAAAAAACTGAATGTTCCCACAATGATGGATGGATGGATGGATGGATGGATGGATGGATGGATGGATGGATGGATCCTAAAGCTCCTGTTTGTCATGATGGGTATCAGAGCTAGCCCAAAATGCAGAACACACACGGAGGCAGGATAAAAGTTTAACAGAGTTTATTAAGAATAAACACAAGGATAATGTACTGGCACGGGAACTGGTCAGGGGCTGGTTCACTGGAGTCTGCAGAGATGATAGTTTGATTAGCAAACGAACTGATGAGTTATGAGTCTTTGAATATTCAGATGAATACCTTGAAGTGGTCCAGTTTTCTCTTTGAGAGAGAGGGCACTTGATGGGTCCAGAGACTGTTAGTTCAGCAGAGTCCAAGAGTTGCTTCAGCGTCTTGCTTCTGACTTTGTGGGCAGACCTTAATCTGAGTTTCCAGCTCTTAGCCAAGAGCTGCAGGGGAATCCACAGAAGAATCTTCAGGTTTGGCTCACGAAGGCAATCACGGCAGGTTAAGCTCATCCAGAGCCTCAGGTAGAGACAGGTTTCCTGTGAGGCACAAAACAAGGGAGAATTAGAATCAAATCTCATCAAAGAGATAGCAAAGATTCTCAGGTTCAAGGCTCAGGTCGCTAACCAAACTAGGTCAACACTGCGGCATCGAAGCAAGGTCTGGATGCAGGTTATATAGGCAGGTCTCTGATGAGGAGATGCGCCTCAGGTGTGTTGGAAGGTTCCACTTCTGGAGGACCCACGGCGCACTCTGCTGGAGGAAGGTGGCATAGCTCCAGATCCCAACACTGTTCTGTTTCCTCCCAGAAATCCTCCAGTATTACTCCACAGGATGTGGAGTAATACTATGTGGCAGGACTTTTCTTTTGTTATTGAATTAAGGTCATAAATCTTTTATTAATCCCAAAGGAAAAAGAAATGTTGCAGACACCTATATATATATATATATATATATGTATATATATATATTAATCGCATCAATGCCTAAGTTAACTCGCGATTAATCGGATTTTAATCACACATTTTTTTCTGATTGAAAATCATTTAAATACTCTCGATAACATACAAAAAATACATACAGGCTAGGTTTGTGCCAATGTTCGTTTTTTAAAATGAAAACAGGTCACAGACACTGATTTATGCCATAGAAACATATGGCAAGAAGATGGGGAGGCATGTAGCAAAAAATAACAAATATGTAGCCAAAAAAAAGGCCCTGAAAACAGGCTGATGTAAAAGACAGTCTTTACAGTTAATACAGTCTTTTGAACAAAGACGAGCATTTTACCCTACTGCTATAAAATGTAGTACAGTTAACATTAGATGTCAATTAACCAAGGTAATAATGAACAATTTTCAATCAATACATCAAAATCAATAGACCGACATCACTAGATGGAGGTAGTCAATGCTCTAGAAAGTTACTTTTCAGCCTCTTAACAAAAATGAGAACACACAGACATACGATACTGACCTGTGGCGTACACAGACAGACAGACACACACAGCCTATGTTTTGCTATGTAACTTGTAAGTGTTACAAATTAAATTAAATTTACCATTCAAGAGTGCCGTAGCAGATTCAATTTCACCTCAGTAATCTGTTTTCTCAGCGTATTTCAGGTTGCTACTAGGCACCAGACACTCAACTTGTTTGTTGGTGGTGGGGCTTAAAGAAAAGGCACTTGTCATGATGGGTTTCAGAAAAGCTCAGTATGCAGAACACCACGGAAACAGATGAAAAGTTTAACAAGTTTTATTGAGCTCAAGCACATGGAATAAACACAGGAACTGGTTCAGGCCTGGGGGCAGGTTCACTGGAGTCTGTGAGGATGACAGTTCAGTTAGCTTGGAAGCAGATGAGTTTGAGAGTTTCAGGTTTATACCTTGAGAAGTCCGGGTTTGGCTTTGAGAGAGGAACTGTTGGGTCCAGAGGCTGTTTAGTTCAGCAGAGTCCAATAACCGCTTCAGTGTCTTACTTCTAACGTGAGAGCAGACCTTGGCTTTGGGTTTCCAGCTCTTAGTCCAGAGCTGCATGGGAATCCAGAGAAGAGTCTTCAGGTTTGGCTTAGAGGGCAGGCTCGGCAGGTTAAGCTCATCCAGAGCTTACAAGGGAAAAACTGGATTCCTGAAAGCAGAGACAGGGAGGGATTAGAATCCAATCAGGACTCAGGAGCAACAA